CATAATGATTTTTTTTTTTTATATTTAATTGTAACATATTAAATTATGATTTATTTCAATTCACAATTGTAAATTACAAATTTGGAAAAAAAAAAATTCTCTTGGTTCGCTCGGGACCAGCTGAGTACGTTAATCCCTCTGCGACCGCAGTGTGAACCCACTTCTGACCACCATCAGCGCAATACTGGACCACAACGATCAACACAGCCACCAGGTGTCCATTCAAACCGAGCGCCTCTAGTGGTCAAAAGGCAGATGGACAGCTTGAACGCGCAGCTATCAAATCAAATCCTCTCAATGGCAACTTGTTGAGCCTGTGTCACTTGTAATTCAGACAGTCATGGAAGAGATAGAAGAGGAACAAAAGTTTCAGCAACATTTACCTGAGGTGGATCGATGTCCAGAGATTACATGAAGCAGGGAGGGCGGAGTGAGTGGACACAGGTGAAGAACATCAGAGCCGGTCAGGTGATCACAGTCAAGACACAAGCCCCGCCCTCTCCCCTGCCCCGCCCACTTCAGTGAAACGAAGAGTGGTTGGTGCTTTTGCCTTACATCAAGAGGATCAGTGGTTGGATCTCTTTTGACGACTGATCTTGTCTTTCCGGAAGACGTGCATGTCTTGCACGTCTTCTTCTTTAGAGTTCACTCTAAATTGACTGTAGGTGTGAATGTGAGTGTGAATAGTCCGGTGACCAGTGTGTACCCTGCCCTCACCCAATGAATCCCCCTCGCAACCCTAACAAGGATCAGGATCCAGAAGACGACGAACGACGACCACAAAGTTGTTGTATCGAAGTTTTCAGCTTCCCCCATAACTTCCATAGAAACCGAAGCGGAGGTTTGACAAAATGACGCCAATTTGAAATGGTTATCGCACAGCATCATCAGTCTTCGAAATGATTTTGGTAGGAAGACAGGTTTGAAAGGAAAAAAAAAAAAAAAGGCTCCATTGATCAGACGGCCGTGAACCAGCGAAGCAGCTGCTGCTCAGGCTTTTCATTTCTGCTTTCTGCGGAACAATAATGAAATTACCTTTCAGAGAGAGAGATGGAGGAGAAACGCCGATGTCGACGCCTTCGTCTGTCCGGCATCACTGTTTCTCTCTCTGTGTCTCTCTGCGGACCCTGCTATAAGTCAATTCATATCGACTGATTCCTCCCTCCATTAAGTTCCTTTCTATTAGTGGTCATAATAATGAAATGGATATGAAGCGGATACACATGGTCTAGTCTAATGGTTCTCACGTCCATCGGTACTTTAACGTTTCAGATCCAGATGACCGTTTACCCTGTTCAATTACTCATTGATCTTTCAAACGTAGGGCCTAGGAGATAGACACAGTACTTGGAACTATTGGTGTTTTAGCCACGGACTCCAGTGTCAAGGATCAAGCAGAGTACCGTAAGATGGTCTACAGGTGAATTTCTGTAGTACCAAGAACTAGGGATGGCGGTGGTAGTACACATTTTCACAGCAGGAAGTAGTACCAGGAACTGCAACAGGAACTCCCGACATGTCGACCGCAAGAAACAGAACTGAAAATGAAAAAAAGGTCTCAGAAATTGAAGTATCGGGAACCGCCAGGAGCTAAGGAGAGTTAGCGTCCCCTGCAGGTAACAGCGTGCAGTGTCACAAGATCTGTCAACGTGAGGCTTTCTAAATAGTATCAAGAATTAGGGATATTGCACAGAACTGTATGTATTTCTATAGGAAACATCAGTACCAGGAACTTATATACACTGAGTGGAACCATATTTGTTTCCTCTTCAACAACCATCACTAAAGACAAAACACAAATACTCCCTAGTACTGGGCTCTGAATAAAGCATCCGGAACTGAATTAGTACTAGGAACCAATGATAGAAAGCTGATCTGTTTGACACTTTTGACCGAAGTGTCAAACGTTTAACGTTTTTTTTTTTTTAATTCCCACTGTGTCACAGTTCAGTTAGTGTCAATGTAATGTTTTGGATAAATAGTTTAAACTGTGTCTCCAGGTGGGAAACACAATTTTGTTTTCCTGAATACAAACAGACCACAGATGATCAGACATTCAGAGCACTGACAGCAGCACAGCAGGTGTTTGTTTCTATTATGTCTGAGAATCAAAGGAATATTCTTCCCGGGGACATCCAGTTGCATTGTGGGATTTTTGACTAGCTTTTATTTAACCAGAAAATCCCTCAAGATTACGATTTTTTGTTTTTTAAACGAAAGACCTACTTTCAGATAACGTATTAAAAATAAATGAAGGTCCTCGCTTATTAACATTACCGACAGCAGGGGGTGCTGTTCTTACAAAGGCTTCATGGATTTAGTGAGTTTCTAGAACAGAGACCTCCAGTGTTTGTGCAGTTCAAAGTTCTTGCAAATGAAACTTATGAAACAGATCCCGTTCACACCACTGATAACAAATGTCTACGTGTCTGACAGCTTAAAGCTCTAGTCCTGATGGACTCTAAACACCTGAGAACTCTAGTCCTGATGGACTCTAAACACCAGAGAGCTCTAGTCCTGATGGACTCTAAACACCAGAGAGCTCTAGTCCTGATGGACTCTAAACACCAGAGAGCTCTAGTCCTGATGGACTCTAAACACCTGGGAACTCTAGTCCTGATGAAAGCTCTAGTCCTGTACTGCAGTGTTCTTACCACCACGGGGCCTAGTCCTGGTATCAACTGCTGGGCCTCGGGCTCATCAGCCAACAGTTGCTAAATTTCTAAATGTTTGAGAAAGACAAGCTTAAACAGGATGCGTCCTCCCACTCTGCAGCTCTATTTCTGGATTCAGTCGACACACCCCTCCTGGCTGCGATTCCTTCGTACTGCAATCGCAGAGTTTATTACCTGGTGTCGCCTTCACTTGTTGTACTATTGCTAATGGGTTCATAATAAAGTAAACAATTTTAAAAAATATTTAAAAACATTTTTAAACCAATTCGAATGGTCAGTGAACATCACGGATTACAGACCAGGGAACTGTTTTTTTTTTTTTTAATTAGGTGAAATATTTTTGGGAAGCATTTCAAGGTATGTGATATGAATGGTGTAAGACTGTAGATTTTAGATTTTTTTTTAAAATTATTTTTCTCTACCCACTATTTTTTTTATGTTTATTCTTGGCTATCCTTATGAATAAAATGAACTCGATAACTTGTTTTTTCACTCTTGTGTTTTGGCTAACTGGGAGGAATTGTTGCTACATTTGAACAAATGTTTTCCTCCAATTCAGATGCTAACCTTTAGCATCTTTTTCCCAGATTTTCCAGTTAGCGCCTGTCAAACCCTGCTTCACTCACATGTTCTATCTCCCCTTCACGGACGGGCTATGGATTTTCCTTCATGGCTGTGAACCACCTGTGTTCTTAAATATTTTATCAGTCACTTTCACACTCACACACACACGCACGTTTAAGTGTTTTGACAGCTGTGTACAATCCTGCTCATCAGAAACAAGCATCGAAAAAAGTGGCAGTGACTGTGGGTTACGAGGAAAACTCGACAGATTATGGGTTAGACGTAATATTTCACAGCTTTTACCCAGTCCTACGGTCTGGAGGCGGTGCAGAAAAACACCCAACACCCACAGATTGATTGACTCATTTGTGATAAAAATGATTTAAAAAAAAAAAAAGCTTAGAAATTGCCCTTTATTTCAGATGTCTCGACGTTGTTGTCTCTCCCTGTGATCCAGCAGCAGCGGCAGCAGCGCTGGTCATTATTTCACAAGAAAGGTGCGACGACGACAACGGACACGCCCATTTTCACCGTCAACGACAACAACAACCATAACATGGTGGGAAGTGATTGAAAAAAAAAAAAAAACAACAACTGGTGTGTGAGGAAGAAGGAAAAAAAAAACAAAAAACAACTGTGTGTGTGTGAGGAAGAAGAAAAAAATGTATTAAATTAATTTTGATTGTCTATATTTTTTAATTGGAAAAATATATATAATGGGAGAAGATTCATTTTGGCCAAAAATGGTTGGTGTGTTGATTGATGACTCTGAATGGAGGATTGAAAAAAAAAGAAAAAGCAAAAATTGAGAAAATGAAATAAGAACAAAAAAAATGGAGTCAAATGATGGAGGATGATGTTAGAACGAATGAAGAGGAAAAGACTGTAGTGATGAAGAGATGTGAAGAAAATGGAGGGAAAGGCTGGAGAGCGACACAGACACCAAGAAAAAAAAAACAACAAAAAAAAAAAAAAAAAAGGGGGAGATGGGCAGGGAGAGCGAGGCAGAGGAGAGGAGAGGAGAAGAGAAGAGGTTCAGACAAGCGTGAAGAATCAACAATAGAGGCTAACAAAGAAAATCCTCAATGGAGGCATCAATCACGGCTCCACTTATCCCCACGGCTCATGATTTTTAGGCTTTTTGAGTTCCAAAAAAAAAAAGAAAAAACACACAAACACACGGTTGGGCCCACACCCACCCTCCCCCCAGCGCCACTCCCACCTCCTCCATCCAACCATGCATCCATCCATCCATCTGTCCATCCATCTGTTCGTCCAGCCTCCAAAAACAACCTCACGGTGTCAAGTGCCAGCTTCTCTTCATCATCATCATCATCATCATCCTCATCTACATCTAAATCCTCTGTTCATCGTCTTCGACCCCCAAAAGCAAATCTGCTTTGTTATGCGTCCGTTCATTACCAGTGCACCACGGCAGATTAAAGACCTGCCTGAGATCAGAGCACAAGATAATGACACTATTAAAAAAATAAAAATAAAAAATCCCAATCAATTATAATAGAAAAAGAAAACAAACATACTTGAAAAAAATTTTTGAAACGTCCCATCAGCTGCATTTTATCAGCGCTCAACACAAAGGAAGCCATCGAAAGGCAGGGAGACGAGAGATGTATGCACAGAACAATGGCAGAAAAGGTGCATCTGATTCCAGATTCAATGTAAATTAAGAAAAATAAGAAAAATAAAAAAGAAGAAGGGAAACATGTCCATCCTCTTACGTTCATGTTCTTTTTTTCTTACCTTTCTGGCTCTGCGAATCATCCATGTTTTCCTCCATCGTGGCAGGTTACAGTCCCTTTGTCTCGGTTTCGTGTGAAAGCTGTTAAAAGCCCCCTTGCTAGCTCTCTCTCAGCAGTGTGTGTGTATGTAGGAGGCTGCCTCCAAGAGTGTGTGTGTGTGTGTGTGTGTGAGTGTGTGTGTGTTTCTCCCTCCCTGCAGATGATGGAGGGGAAGGGAAGTCCCTCTTTTCATGCTCTCTCCTCACTCCCCGGACTCCTCCAGCATCTTTGTAATAAAAATAAAAATAAAAATAAAAATAAAAATAAAAATAAAAATAAAAATAAAAATAAAAATAAAAATAAAAATAAAAATAAAAATAATAATAATAATAATAATAATAATAATAATAATATAATTTTATTTTAATAATATAATTTTATTTTAATAATTAATAATTTTATTTATTTTTTAATAATATATATATTTTATATATACATATACTGTATATATTTTTTTTTTTAAATTGGCGACCTGTGCTGAAAGTGAAAAGAAAAAAAGACGCTTGTACTTGTAACACCCTAGACTCAAGACAGGACACAGACCTGAATACTATGGACCATGGACTAGAGAGTAACTTATAGTTATAGGACTGGATAGTGTTAGTTACAAACACTGAGGTCTTTGGACTGAACTTGGACTTCAAATTGAGATAGAAAATTGTTGACTTCTGACTTCGGAATAGAACTGGACCCAGACTTAAGCATTGAAGACTCGGGACCAGGTAAAGACTAGAACCCCAAAGACTTGGAAGCTGGACCATGGTCAACACTTCCCAACGTCCCCTGCACATGGCTAATATCGGAAGTTCCAACTTCTCCTATCTGCTCTCTGTCAACATGCTCTGTCGTCGTTTTCTCTCTTAACTGGATCAATATTTATAATATTATTTACTGGAAAGGATATAAACTGTTCATAAAAAAAAATATTGAATGACTTTAGAAATCTAGTGAGAAGGAGCGGAAATTTCCACAGGGAACGGAAATAACAAATGACCAGATGAGACATTGTAAATGTAGCTTTTCTGTAAAGCCCAGACTTTACTTAGATTGAATTTTGTAAACAGATACCGAGGTAAGACTTGTTAGAATCAATATTATTAGTCAGTAAGTCACTCTGGTTAGTTCTTTAAATTTCCAATGTCGGATTGTTGATATGTTGACAGAACCATCCATCCATCCATCCATCCGTTTTCATACACTTATCCGTTACCGGGTCACGGGGGCAGCAGTCTCTATAACCGCCAGCTAAATCACACTGCACCGTACCAGCCCCCCTGAACCTTCCTGTGGGTGGTGAGTCCACTGGAAGGTACCAACCGCCCTAACTGGGATTCGATCTTGCCCAGGAGGTGAACCCTGGGGTTCCACACCAATGACAGAGACATTGCCTCTGGGCCAAAGCGCCACATGTTGACAGATCAAAACACAACAAAACAAAATGTAGTTTTTCTACTCAATGTAATTGTCTTGCTATCAGTTTTTCCTCAAATCAAGACAAGTCGAGTCGAGTCAATTCGGGTGAAGTCAAGTTGAGTCAAATCAAGTATATTTGAGTCGAGTGGATTCGAATCAAGTCGAGTCGACACGATTTATGTCGAGTCGAGATTCTATTGGAGTGAAGTCCAGTCAAGTCAATCCTATTTGTAACGCCCAAATTTAACATTTAACACATTGGACATAATGGATGGAAGTTTACAGTTTTGCCATAAAAAAAAAAAAATAATAGAGGACTATCTATAATCAGTCTGGTATTAAAATTGTATTTTTATTCATTTGAAAAATATTGAAAATAAATAAAAATATAGAGCGCTTATGTATGTTACTCTCTCAATTACACGCTGGCCTAAGAATTTGTTGACAAGAGGATTAAAAAAAAAAAACTGCTCAGAATGTGCGGCCCAGCGTCTACGGCAAATTTGTCTTCTAATATTTGTCCTCAGCTTCACTTCACGTGTGTCTTCATCACTTCTGACACCAGATTGCTGTGTCCATCATAAGATCCATGCCCGGAACGGACCACGCTAACAGTCCCCGGGGACGGTTCCATCACCATAAATCACACTGTGATTGAGTAATTTCGTCGTCGGTGTGTTTTTGTGGCCAGAACGTTGACCTTGGCTTTAGAACCATCAGCCAAGGCCGCGGCCGCAGCCGGCCAAGGTGAGGCGCTGTATTAAGAGACATCAGAGAGCTGTGAGGGACGTCCATAAAATGATTTATTTCCTCTTAAAATATTTATAATGTTTTGTTTTTTTTTTGTACCATATTTTATTTCAAGGATTGCGTCTTAAGGCTCCTTTTTATATATATAACGACAGTATGTTATTTTTTAATTTAGATAAATATATGTAGGGCTTTAGTTCAAACTGCTCCGCCGAGCATTGCGACAAATTGAAAACACATCGTCTTCGGTCATGACTCCACCGTGTGTTCTGGGTGAACCGTGCTCGCTTCAGTTCATCCTTGAGATGTCATGAAATTTATTAAGGGTGCACCTGTGACAAACTGATTGAAGCCGAGAGGTCCCATAATTTACAGTGCATTTAAGGACAATGGTAAATCCCCGAGACGGGGACAAGGTGGAGTTATCGGAGTCAGGGATGAGGGCGAGGGCTGTATATCTCCGGCCGGGCTCTGAACTCACGGGACCGTGGATATGTCAGTAATGGAGAAATTGAAAAATGACCTCCATGAAACCTTTGGTGCTGCAGGAAATGACGTGCAGCTTAAAGGTAGCAGTAAAGAAAGAATATTTGCTGAACTCTAGAGGGAGCCACTGCCGAAAAGCAAAGCTGTTCAAGGATGCAAAATTGGGACGTAAACATATTTCGCATCCTGGACTAAGTGGGTTGGTCTATCTGAGCGGGTTCCAAACAAAGCTATGGTTCACGGATCATTGGTGGCACTTGAGCTCCCCCTAGTTGTACCCTAAGGAATCACTAGAGCTGTTCTTTTATTTCCCCCTTTGCGCTGCAAGTCTAGTGTTACGATATGGTAGGGCACCCTCTAGCGATTATACGTCTGAACTACAACATGGTGCTATTACATCAGCTGGTGTAACATTTTACATTGTTTTCAAAAATAAGTTGAACAATGTCTTGTGTATTTGATTTAGTCCTGTAAATGATCATAAAACGCCCCCCCGCCCCAAAAAAAATATTTCAAGTGAAACAAAAACCTCACCTAAAATCTACGAAACGACCTCCACCGATCAACAGACAGAAGAAAGCACAGAACCAGAAGCATTGAACTGTTTGGTGCAGCAAAACAAAAAACAAACATTACAGTCAAAATCAATGAGTTTAATAGAAAATGGATTTATACCAGAGGCAATGCCAGAAGTTAAGAGTCTTTTTTTTTTTCCTTTTTTTTTTTCAAAACATTTCTCACTGAATTTTGAAATGATTGAGCGCTGTGACCATTTTCACTTGATTTTTAACACAGAAAACGCCATCAGGACTAGAAAATAAGCTTTTTTTTTTTTTTTTTTTTTTGACAGGAAAAATACTGCGTGAATGCCAGGTACGCACAACAATGCCTTTGATCTGTGCCCCACTTTGGGTCTCACAAATCAAAGGCAGGCAAGAGGAACATCCGTTGCAGTTGATTTTTAATTGGGAAAAATGTACAGAATCCAAATGTACAAAAACAAAGCTGTTTACAAGCGTGGGTGTTGCCAATAAACCAGACCTGTTGATACCTGAATGGGCCAAGAGCAGTGGTGGGTATCAGGGACTAAACAAGGTTCAGGGTAATAATCAGAAATGACGGCATTCACACAAGTTTCCACTGTAAAAACGATACATCCGTGAGACGAAATGGAAGCAGAACCTTTTCACGCCAGTTGTTTTCCCTTTTACCTGTTTCTTCATCTCCTCCGCGGTCTCTTGTCACTTCAGAGTTTTTGCTCTCGAGCTAGCCGGCTAGCCGGCTAGCTGGCTAGCTGGCTAGCTTCTCACTAGCAGCGCGAACGTTTGGGCTTCCTTGTGAAAGAAAGAAGCCAGGATTGAGTCCGTAAAAGCATACACACTGTACATAACGAGAACCACGTGAATACTGCAATTAATATTGTTAATATAATTATTACTATTGTCATTTTAAACACTTAAAAACGCAGCCAAATGTGAAGCTTTGGGCTGACGAGTTCATCTGGAAGGAGGAAAAAAAACAAAAAAAACAAAAACCAAAAAACGTAAAAGTGACATGCAAGTGATCTCTCCGTCCTCTCCGTCTTTGTCCTCCCTGTCTCCTTTGCTGTCATCAGTGCAGCGTACACACATATACATAAACATATATGCATGTATGTATATGTATATATATATATATGTTTATATTCCAGTGTCGGCAGCTGCCATTGGCTGAGCATGGAGAGCTCTGATTGGTTCAGAGGCTGTTTGGCACGTCTTCCAGTTGGCTTTTGAACTCACACAACACCAGTGTGTGTGCGTGTGTGTGCAGGCATGTAGATTTGTATGTGGATGTACGTTGTGTGTTCATCTATACACAGGGATAAGCCGTGTCGACATGGACATAAAGGGCCATTCCCGCCATAAAACAATGTCTTGAGAAGTTGTGGTTAACCTGTCGTCTTAAGTCTTAAGACAGATGGAAATTCAGGTGCACTGCAGCGAATTGCATTGCAGGTGTAAAAGGGTGGATTGATTGAGTCTATTTTGTTTTTAATTTGCGTAAAAACAAACGATGTGGCTTCACAGTCATTATGTCATATCATGGGCAGTGGTTTGGCTTCCTAAAGCTGCAGGGGGTTTTGACTTTCCTCAACATCAGCAGTGCAGCCGTCTTTAGCTGTGGTCCGTACATTCGTCGGTAACGTACAGACATTATTATGACACCACTTTTATGCTAGCTTAGCTCACATGCAACAGCCCGGTTCCCCTCAGCCTGCCTCTTTGTTAGCTTCCCTCTTTTTAGCTGTAGGCTAAAATGCATTAAAATGCATATAATAGTAGGGTGAACTTAAAAGTCTCGTCTACCGTTTGTTTGGACTTCAGCGTTCCACATCCCGATGCTAGTTTGTATCGGTTGAATCTATTTGTTTAAACCATTAATACCTAGCCTAGCATCTCTCATACTCGAACTTTAGCCAAATTTTAGCGGCAGAGTTGTAGCTTCAAGCTTCAAAGTCTTGTTGCTGAAACGTGATGGGGAAACAAGCTCCCCCATGTGGCACGGAGGTGTACTGCAGTTAAACATTGTATCGATTTGCTTAGACTTCACAGTTGTCAATATTGAAAAAACGTAATGAGGATGAGGAGGATACAGGGCACCTAAAGTAAGTCAGATAAGTGATTGGTTTACTGTTTAATAGAAAATATTTTCAATATTTGAGGCCTGCACTTCTTTATATTATATTTAGGTTCGGTTAAATTTAAGGATTTCAAAATAAATGTTTTACAATTAACAAGTTCTTTTCAGAAACTCCAAACGTGTTTTTGCTTATTCCTGTGTATAGCACATATTCACAACGTGTGTGTGTGTGTATGTATATATGTGTGTGTGTGTGTGTGTGTGTGTAGGAGGTTTTGGGGGGGGTGCGCACACGAGTCCATGCATTTCTCAGTTTTGCTAACAGCCTCTACGAATTAGGAATTTTCAGGCAGAACTGGAAAAAGTGGGAATAATAACATCTTGATCATATTATATATATATATATATATATTGTATCTGCCATCAGATAAATACTCGAATGTTTCTTATATAATACAGTTGTTTGTTTGTTTGTTTGTTTTTTTTTCTTCATTGCACTTGAACTCATTTTGGCTAAAACTCTGAGCATTCATACCCATAACTCCTGATCACATCCCTGATAAAAATGCTGTTATTGCGCTGAGGTCAGCATCACTGTTGTCTTAATTTGCTATACAAGATGAGCCCGAGGATTGTGGTGAGCAAAATGGAGAACCTACTGAAGAATGTCGTCGGTTGGATTAGAAAACTGTCCCCTGTGCTTGTTTTATCATGAAACTGTACAAGACCAGCCATGACTCGCTGAAGGTCACATGATTCACTCCGTAGGTAGGCAGGTCACTGCTGACACTCAACAGCCAAGTGTTGGGAGGACACAGCTGTCCAGTCTTTCTAGGCTATGGGTCAAAGAGTGAGATCAGGAGTCCACAGAAATATGATTGGCTAAACTCCAGATTGAGAATCAAGGTGGCTCGTTGTTGTAAATGGTACGTTTTTTCGTTTTGTCCTCAGAGATGCTCGTTGTTGTAAATGGTACGTTTTTTTGTTTTGTCCTCAAGAGAGATGGGGGTGGGGAAAAAAAAAAAAAAAGAGAGAGTTTCCAGTTTCTTTTCAGGAAGTGGAGGAACTATGTGTTGTGACTGGCTGTAAGGCACTGACTCAGGTGTGGTCAGGAGAGATCAGTCATGCTGAGGCTCATGGGTAATCCTGGACGGAGATAAGCCACCGGAACACGGCCATTCTCGCCAGTCGATCCTGTGATGGACAGACGGGCTTTGGAGCGCATCGCATCTGTAAATTTCATCTGCGCGAAACAAGAACATGTTATGCAGAGTCGAGCCATCGCCACAGTCAAACATGGGAAACTGTCGTCAACAAAAGGTGGTATGGATGTAGATAGAAACTGTCGATGAGGAGATCGGGAAACACAGAGAACTCCTTTCACACTTTCAACTTTTTGCTTCCCTCAAAAATGTCACTTCTAAGCTTCCCCAAAAGCTCAAATCGATATTAGGATTTAGATTATCTGACACTGCCACCTATTGACAACTTATATTATAGCATTATTCAATCGCAACATTTCGGGAAAAGTCATTTCTGGCTCGACGACGCTACCAGTCCAAACCAGTCCATCTTTCAAAAATGAAATCATGAGGCGTCTTAAATAAAAGCTCGCATTAAGACGAATGGATGTGATTGGCCAATGAGTAAGTACGTCAAAAGAGGATGATTGGCTAGAAAACAAAAAGGAGACACAGGTGCCAAGTGAGGATTGAAAGTGGGGAAATAATAATAATAAAAAAAAAGATAGAGATAGAGAAGTGGAGGTGAACAAGGAAAGTAGGAAAAGGTAAAGAGGAGGGAAGGAGAAAGTGCGCCACCGGGTGGTGGGAAACGTTGGGAAAAGTAAAAGAAGGGGTGGGTGATGCGAGGAAGCGGTGGGAAACAGGTGAAGAAGGGTCAAGGTATATCACAGCCATAAACATGTTTTATTTTGTATTCAAATTGTTAAGGCCAATGGCAGAATACGAGTCCGGTGCCTAATATAGAGTCCAAATAGCAAAAGTATATGGTGCTTTTAATTAGCCCCTTGTTATATATGGTAGGGTTTGTAGGAACTAGTCACCATTGATGACGAGTAGAACCATAACATAATTACCTAGAAATAACATTAAGTCCATGTATTTCTCCTTTGTTTTCCCTGCGACTAAAATCAAGTCTATTAGAAAATCTTCATATAAATATATAAATATAATTTGACAAAACTTTTTTTTTTTTCCACTTTCAGCGGGCCAGTTTTGTTAGTTACATGCTCTATAATGAGGCTAATCGTCCCGGTGGTCTTCTCCGGTGTTACAACCACAGCCAGCAGGGACCTCCGTCCGGTTTTATATATATGGTCTATGAAAATAAGGATTTACTAAAATAATGCATTTTGGTGACATTCTGCATGGAACCGCATGCTGCCAAAGCCTCTCTTTTTTTTTAAAGATTTTTAGATCATTTTTACATGCCAATCACTCTTGTGAAATCCCAGAAGTGGCCACTAGTTGTCTGAGAGCAACCGACTCCTCGGCGCCAGTTCAGTTTGTATTTGTTTATGACTGTGAGGTAGAGGGAAAAACTTTAGCCATCAATCATCGCTCTCCTACCCGTGTTTAGATCTTGACGCTCTCAATGCCGTAAACGTTGTAGCCCTCTTTATAGGTGGCATAGTTTGGCTGGTGGCTGGGGGACAGCAGGTTGTAGTTGGGGGCGTGTTGAGGAGAAGACAGAGTGTGTGTGTAGTTTCCTGTGTGCTGGGGGGACGACAAGGTGTTGGCTGCCACCTTCATGACACAAATAAAGCCGCTGTTACACCGCTATATGGAAAGTTGTCATGTGACACCGAGTGAGAAGAGATAAGAAGTAAGAGCCGGGCACCGTAGATTGATCACCGAAAAAATACGTGTCAGGTTTTCATCTTTTCAAGATTGTTTAAGTCAGTGATTCTTAACCATTGGGGCCACGGCCCAAACTTGGGCCAATAGTGCCACCTACAGGGCCATAGTTTGTATTGCACTTCATTTCAATTGTAATTACTTTTTATTAAATAAAAAAAATAAAAATTATTTGTATGTATTTATTGTATCTTTAACTTTCTTTTTTTATTTCATAATTTATTTATATTTAATTCTTTTATTTTTTAAATTTTTTTTTCATTACAAGAAAAATAAAAAAAATAAAAATGACTCCTTTGGTAAGGGACAAATTGGTTAAGAACCCCTGGTTTAAATAATACATGAATGAAACTGAAATCGCTCCCTAATGCCCAGATGTCTGGTTTAAATAATACATGAATGAAACTAAAATCGCTCCCTAATGCCCAATTACACAACGTACAATCAAGAACAGGTGAGCACTGAAGGCAGAGAGAGTGTGCATTTGACCATAGCACATGACAGAGAGAGAGAGAGAGAGAGAGAGAGAGAGAGAGGGAAAAATAAAGGAGGTAGAGTCACTGCAGAGTTCACCTCAGGTTAGGTGAAAAGTGCACCATAAAATAATAATAATAAAAAAAACTCTAGCACAATTCATCACAACATTTTCACATAGTTTGTTCAGTGATTGTCGTCATCGCGACTTGAGCTTAACTGTCATTTCATCCGGGCCTGTCTGGGCGGTTAGTTTCCTATTTTACACTAAATAAGCTGAAACGTTGCCACATGAGGCTGCGATTTATTTCCTCACAATCCTATAATCCTTTAAAACTGCTGACTCGTAGCCATCATCAGCCAGTAGTTTTTTTTTTTTTTTTTTTTTAAACCCAGAAATGCTTGGAAATGGAAACCCATTTTGTGAACATCGAGTTTACAACTGGCTCGCACAGAATTGGTTTTACGCGGCTTTATAACATCTATGAAGCCGCGTAAAACGTATGCACATTGTTTTAGAGTCTTTAACTGTTAAAGTATCTTCTTCACTAGAGAACTGTAGTGTTTAAACGGCAGTACATGGTACTATAGTAGAGTATATACTATACAGCAGTATAGGTACACAAGAGCACAAACATTACAGCCAATGGGAGAGGCCGAGAGATGCTACGATGCACGAGCCAATCGGCGTGAGGAACAGATTGTTCTTGATCTCCTCTAGGTAAACAAAGCTAGCAGCGACGTCTTTGAGTTTCTTTTTTGCTATATTTTTACTGTTGAATTTTACGAAAATAATGATAAATATTGTAAATAAAAAAAAAGATTTACCGTGAAAAACTGCGATGTAGCGAAATCGTCTTCGCGAGATTGGATAAAAAAAAAAAGGAAATCTGCGATGTACTCAGGGAGCCACTGTACCACTGTATTACAGAGAACCAAAACAAATCTGCGATGTAATGAGGGAGCGAAATTTGAACCGCGATTTAGACAGGTACCACTGTATTATAGAGAACCAAAATAAAATGCTCTCTGTAGAAAAACAGCAGCTCGGTCATTACTGCATCTTCGGAATAACAATAAGCTCAAGATAGATTTGCGTGTCAGAAAAAAAAAAAATCCTTTTTTTTTTTTTCTTTTAAAATTTGAAAAATGAACCTTATCTGTAAAAGACAAAAAATTAAAATTCAAGTCAATGATGCGCACCTTCATCTTTTTGGCCTCGGCGCGACTCTTGTAGCAGAACTCCACCAGGGCCACCATCATTGCCAGACCCAGACCTCCGACCAGGATGTAGAAGACACCTGCTACATTACTGAGAGACAGAGCGCTGGAAAAGACATAGATTTCACACACAAACAAACACAAACACACACACACACATGCGTCCCCATGCACATACGCACATTCAAACACACACAAGCACATATGGCCCAAAGGAAAGAGCCCCACCCCCGGAGAAAAGTGGGGTTAGTTAGTTTCCCGATACTGTATGAATCAAAAATTTAGACAAATCTGCACACTTAACTAAAGGTATGAACAAATTCTAAACAACAACACACCACTAAAAACTTTTTATTTTTTTTTCTATATGTAAATCAGTGTGTACCTCGGTGTTAATGAGCGCCATATGTTGAACAAACCAGCCATCAGTCTGACAACAATCTAGAAAGTTCTGAGAACAATTCTTGGTCATGTGTTCGTGGTTAACTATCTAACGAATCTGACTTACTGATCTCGGCTTTTTACTTAAGACCCCACTGTATATTTTACACACAAACACACACACAAACACGACAATTATTTTCACATGTAGAGACGCAGAAGAGTTCACACACACATACACAAGTGGGTGACAATTTTTTTTTTTATTTTTTTTTTTTTTTTTTTAAATACAAGTCGTGTTCATTTTGAAAGGCTAATACCGTCAGGCAGCGCCGCGGACCCCTCGAGGGGTTGTGGACCACCTGTTGAAGACCTTTTAAATACTAAGTAAGTAGGAACAGGGGTAGGTAACAGTATTGTTCTATATTGTTTTTGGTTTTTTTAATTTGATTTTTTTGAATGACGGTGCTTTTGTTGTTTTATCAGCCTGTCACTCCGTCTTCATCTTATCTGTCAGCCGTCATGGCAAAATAGAACAAATCCTGACGTTTTGTTGTCATATCATGAAGGGAAACCTGATAGACAGAGTGAGGAAATCATTTGATCCAAAAACAGGAAACGACACCGGCTGCTCGGCTTAAAGCCTTTGCCTCCGAATAAAACTGACCTGACAAAAACAAACAATATAAATGTTCATTCTCTAGACGCTCAAATTAGGTGAATCATCCCAGTTCAGGGATACACACATTCATAATTTCCCTTTAATTTGTCACCCTCCTGCTCATACACACACACGAAGAACACAAAGAACACAAATATTTGACATTGGTTTGGTGAACGTTTGGCTTTTGTCTGGACTCAGACAGAGAAAACCCAGGTGTGGTTATTGAGGTCAGGGGTGTTAACTGTTGCACCTGTCACCACGCCCGGCAGCGATGAAGACCCAGTGGTCCGGACTCAAACGCATTTTCACCTCTGAACCTTCCTCGATGCCGCGGACACTTACAGACATTTACATTAACATTAACTATACCAGATAATCCCGTGGTCCTTTGAAGGTAAAAGGTTATAAGAAATGCCAGCACACTCAACTTGTGTACTGTGTTTATAGCACCCCCTGCAGGACAGGGAGAGATAGGACCAGACCTTTATGGTTGTTTTTTTTTTTTTTTTTTTTAAAAAAAACCGTACTTCATTTTCAGGGTCACGGGGGAAGTTGGAGCTAATTCCAGAGAGTCACCATGTGAGGGCACCCTAAACAGTTGGCCAGTCATTAAAGGGTCAGTTCGGCATATAGACAAATCTGCCGTCACGATGTAAGGCAACAATTCTAACCACTTCTTCCACTATGTGGGGTCCTAACATGAACTTAAACTAAAACCTCAAACCTCCAGGTAAGTCTTCTGTTAAATTTGATAACGCAGTCCTTATTTACATATTTGCCATTTAAGTCTCTTTCCTCAACAACAAAAATGATCATTTTGTCCAATCCAAGTGTCAGACAGACAGATAGACAGACTGGGGGACAGACAGACTTGTGTTAAAGCAGACAAAAATACACAGTGGATAGCTATGTATATTTAACCTCTTCTCTCTCTCTCTCTCTCTGCTGGTTGGACCTCCAGCGACACCTACTGGAAGCAGTAGGCGTCGCTGTCATTAGTGAAAGCTCGAACTATCCTGCACTTTTACACGCTGTCGTTATATCCTCTCCATCTGACGCAAACACACACACGCAGGTGTAAGCCGAGTGTGCATACATTGAATACTGCATGTGAACAGACACGTGTGTTTGACTGACCCACAGACACATATATTTACGACTAACCTTATTGGTGGAGTCCTTGAAGCCACACTCTCCTTTATCGTACCACCACTTGTTTTTCATCTTGTCTAGGGTTCCTTGCTCATTCAGTTTCAATACGGCAAGGTTTACTGGCACTCTTCAATGGGAATAACATAAATAACATCATTATCAATGTTATCTTATGTTATTAGTGGGGCAGCGCTTTCTCATGCTCTGCTCTAACAACCGAGAGAGGGGCCCACCGGATCAGATTTGTTCAGATTACACCCACAATTCGATACTTAACAATATGAGCTTTAGCTCGTGTTTTAAAATCCAGCCCCCAGTATTTTGTTTTGTTGTGTTGTACACCCACAATTCGATACTTAACAATATGAGCTTTAGCTCGCGTTTTAAAATCCAGCCCCCCAGTATTTTATTTTGTTGTGTTGTGTTGGGCCCCGCTCTTTGGTCCCCCCCCAATGAGTCAGAGGAGGAGACGTGCTGCATTGAAAAGCCTCTTTCTGCTTCTAAGCAGCAGAAACTCCTCCAGTCCAGAGCCGTGGATAAACAGAGTTTGGGCCGCTTTACGCACACACACTCGTTATCAACAACTCTCTTCTCCTTCTACCCTTTTTTTTTTTTTTTTTATTTCTTTTCTCCGTTTTCACAGTTGCTGCCATCTGGTGTGAGGTCACCTGACCCTGAACCTGACCTGACCCCTGAAAGCCTGCCCTGATGCCCCGGACCTCAACCAAACAGAAAGCAACACTCAACACTGGTCAAAGAGGCAGCATTCGTGACAACATTACATCTGTGTGGTTTTGGACAGTTAGCAAAAGCTAATGAGTGTGTCTACGTCTGTGTGGCAGGGTCAGACAAAAAAAGAAAAAAAAAGAAAAAAGTAATAATATCGAAACTTATGTTTAATACACTAGTGTTTTTTGGTAAATAGTTAAGAAGATTATTATAAGATTTTTTTTTTTTTTTTCCAAAGTTTGTCCTTCCTCAGACAACTGTCTTATCAGGTATGGAAGATAGGGGGTGATAGATTCAACCCTAATGCACAATATTAACCCCCATAGTAAGAAATAAACAAATAAATAAAACAAAGTGCATATTTCATATGATTTGAACTATTTTGCTTATTATTTTTAATTTTAAGCTATTTTTCCTTTTCCTCTTTTCTTTTCTTTTCTTTTCTTAACAGCCTGCTAAATTAGCACAAAAGTGGCCAAAAGCTAGCTAGTACGTTAGCTATAGGTAACTAGCCCAAATTACTGTAAAACCAGATTAAAAATAAAACAACATTTTTTGTTTTTCGGGGAGAAGTAGTTGAAGTGATAATAAAAGATATTTCAACAGAATTTGATTTTAAAAAAAAAAGGCTAGCTGTGTTCTAATAACAGAACCAGTACATCCCGATGATAATTTCTCACCCTGCTGCATAGCACCGTTAATTAGCATTTGATTTATGCACATCTGGCATTTACAACTTACAAGCCCGTGTTTCCATGTAGTGTTGTTACCATGCTGCCTCTTTTTTTTTTTTTTTTCTTTCTTACATTTCCTGGACTCTCTGGGCCCAGTGTTACCTCTGTGTTTGTGTGTGTGTTGTGTACGTATACGTGTGCACGTGTGTGTACGTGTATTAACCTTGCTCTCCCCTCCACCGCTGCCGCATTCTCCCTTGTCATACCACCACTTGTTTTTCAGTTTGTCCAGCAGGCCCTGCTCGTTCAACTTTAACACCGCCAGGTTCACCGCGTTTCTACATGAACACAGTGGCTGTTAGCAGTTCACACATTCCTTGATGTCACTTCCTGCTGGGCACGTTAGCAACATGAACTCGTAATCCCAAGCAGAGACACAGATTTCACACAGGCACGCACACAAAACGACCTGGGCGAGTTCCACTTCTTAGCAGCGTACACAGTATTAGTAGACAGGATTAGCGTTAGCATTTCTAACCGGCTAGGTTCACGCTGCTCATTGAAATATAGGAATTCTCGTTGTTTTGCCGAGTTTCAACCTTATGCTGAGTTTCCTCTGAAATACACGACAGGCTTCGAGGTGAAATTTTACAGCGACACAATTCCTTTAAATTGATAAATGCTAAATACAAGCGCTAACATCAACTATTATCATTTGTTAAAACACAGTAACAAAAACATCACCTGAGAACGCCACAGTACAGTACGCCACTTTTAAGCATAAACACAAACATACACTACGGAGATTTTAACTAAAACGTCGTGCACAACGTTAGCATAACGCGCTAATGCTTTTAAGTAAATTTAAGTAAATTGAATAAAATGAATACATTCTCTGTAGTTTCACCAACAAAAGCAACTGATGCTTGCAGTCAGACATTAATGCTACTACTCCAGCTTCCACCATTTGCGGCATCTCACCATCACACAAGTTCAAATAAGGCTAGAAAACAATGTCAAGTTGACTCCTTGCATCGACTTAGTCCCTACACTCAATCTTCCCCTCTCTCCTTCTCACCTGCTGCTCATCCAGTCATTAGTTCACCAGTAAATACACACAAACACATGCACACACACACACACACACACCTACAGTGTATCCAATCTATCCGGAAAAACATTTCTCCATCACAGTGAAGATGTAAAATCCAGACCAAAAAAAAAAAAAAGCGGTGAAATAGTTGCCTAGCGATAGCTGCTCCCTAGAGTGGACCGTTCACCGTAAGGTTCGACTAAATCTGCGGTAAATGTCGGTGGCTTATCTTCAGCAACAGTTTTTGATCAGCTACGCTGTGACTGACACTAAACTACTGCTGCCGCTCCAAGGGCTTGATTTTCTGAACCCAGCATGTCACATAAATCAATCATTTTGACCACAGTGTTGGCAACAATAAAAAAAAAATATATATATACCAGTTATCATGCTAGAAGCAGAGACACAGGAGAAGCAACAGCTTGTGTTTGTGTTACTTTTGGTGAGTAAATAAAAATAGAAGAAAAACAAAAATGTTTCCAATTTGTAAACAGTCTGAAAAAAGTCTGGAAAAAAAATGTCTCAGTTTCTACCATGAAATAGTTTCAACAACAGTAACCAACAAACAGTAGAAGTAAGGATTTAAATTAAAGCTGCATTAAGTGATATCTTTGATATTTACGTCAGGTGTTAGTAGATAACCATCCAGTATTTTTAAGGGGACTTTCAAAAAAAATCCAATGAAAATCCAGTTATGTAGTATAACCATAAACACAATTTATGTTTTACTAATATATTCTAATAATTGTTTTACTTTATAATTACCTTTTTTATTTGCTGTTGTGAACCTAAATTGTTTTGGGCTATCTATTTTTGCTATTTTCTATTATTAGCTTTGCTCTGTGCAAAATATTAGCCATATGTAGGCTGACATTAGAAGTCACTTGTTGCTTTAGTGTTGCTATATTATTGTGCAATATGCAGACTTTTTGGGGGGTTTTGCAACCTTTAATAGCCAAAATGTCCTACCAATTTTTAGCTATGTTTTTATTTAGCCTTTACAGTACTAAAAAGAAAACAACATTTTTGACCTTCTATTAGATCAACAAAATAATTAGCTAACTTTTAAGTATTTATTTCAGTGGAATATAGCACGCTGAACATAAGTGTACCACTGCTGTGATGCCTGAATGATAACAAGCCTCCAGTCACTAGGTGGCAGCAACTCATACAGGTGGTTTGTACAGATAAAATATACCAGGTTATCAGGTTCTCAATAGTATTTCGATTGAGAACCACTGGCCTAACCTCACGTAATAAGTTTCTCTCGCAAACTATATTTTTTAATTATTCATCTAGTTGTATCACTTAATGCTGCTTTAACAGTAGCTTTTCCATGTTAAACCACCATCATAACATTCTGGTAAAAAAAGTCAACTTTCAGACGTAGACACAGAGACAGAGAGAAAGAGAGAGAGAGAGATCAGACAGGTTGGACAGAAGCAGACAGCAGCCGTCAGTGTGCTGGGAAGACACAAAAGTGAGAAACACCGTGACTTGCATGCAGCTCAACGTGAACACACGGACAGAAAGACACACTTGGCTTTATGAAGGGATGCAGTCTAAAGCAGTGACGAGTATAAAAAAAAAACAAAAAAAAAAACGTGTCCTTCGTATCCTTTAGCTCCTTGAATGGTTCACTTGCTGATACGACTGTAATCGGGAAAAATATCAAGCCCTGCAGTTAGGACCACTTTACATCCACTCAATGCTCTCGCCATATTGGGCGGAGCAAAATTAGGGTGAAACAAATTGCTTGGAGAAAAAAAAATTCTACGAGCTCTTCTTTAATCAGGTCGAAGGCAATGACCTGCAGAGCTCATCTACAGCCATTTTGCAGCTGCTAACGCGATTGCAGAAATTCATATAAAATGCATCCGGATAGTTCAAGTGTAGCATACCATACTGTCAATAGAATTTTAGGTACTGTTTAGGCTTGATTACTTTACCTTATCATGTCCTTTATCTGTACAGTTGCGGCTAAAACGGTCATTAATAGTTAACTAAGCTAACTACAAAAGCTAATTGCTAACTAAGCCACTAGCATTCATAGAAATGAAACAACTGCCGCTACAGACATTTATAATGGAGACACACAGAGACATACACACACGTAAACAAAGAAGTGTTTAGATCATCAAGTCATAAAGTACTGCATAAATATTGATTCAGGTCTTAAAGAGCCAGCTCATCAAATAAATAAAAGCATTAGAAAATATTAGATTTTTTTTTTTTTTTATTAATTTATAACTTGATTATTTTTTTTTTTTTTTTTTTTAATTTATAACTTGATTATTGTAAAGACAAGTCATTCCAATTCTTGTGATAGCTTGTAGAAGAGAGCAGGAACAGTACCAGGAACTATTTGCATTTCCGCCACAGGATCAGGGGATCGTGCCAGGGATGGTGTGGGTTTCTACTCTAGGCATTAGAACTCAGTGTACGTAGTGTGCAAAGGAGTTAGTGCCAAAATAGTACCTTCTGTAGGCATGGTACGTGGTGTAGTCTTTTTTTTTATAGGAACAATCACATTCGTCAATGGTTGGACTTTAAAAAGGAAAATATGTTTTGATTTTCCCGAAAGAGGGATCCCTGTGCAAATACTGCGTTTCACTGATAGACCACTGAGTTTAAACACCTTTGTGAATTTTGGTCTTGTTTGATGTTGGTTGGTGCTGTTTTTTTGACATGCTACAGAACTCATTTGAATTAGCTTCATGGAACAATGGTGGGATCAAAGGCAGCCATTGTTCCCTGAAAATGGTTCCTGGTACTAACAGGTCCTGAATGAATGCAGCTCGTTTAGACCTGATTTTAATTCTCAACACCCCCCGCCCCCATAGACACATTCGTCACGGCAACCACCCCTAGCTATGAGTCAGAGGTGGTAGCCATGTTCAACAAATACAAACCACTGGATGATGTCATCAGGGTAGGTGGATTATTATAACAACGAGTAAACTGCCATGCCCCATTCATCACACTCGCGTACTGCGACACCCAATTGGCACGAAGGCTTGGGACCGGACTAGATCACTCCCCCATAGTTTGTTTTTTTTTTCCCCTAAGCAGTGCTGCATGTGACCATAGCCACCGATGCTAACACACTGGCTAACTACAACCTGACTCTTGTAGCAGAGAGTTAGCCAATGTTTGTTTTGTTTTTTTTACGAGTGTTACCTGCGAAGAAATTGCTCTTGTCTATAGATTTTCTTTTACGAGTTTGGAAAAAGCAGAGTAAAATCGGGGGGAGCGACAGTGATGCTAGGCAGCAGGTTAGTAGCGTGAATGTTACATGGCAGTGCAGGTTGGCCAACATTGTTATACTGATCCACCCACCTTAATGGTGATCCTTTAGGCGTGGCGATGCCGTAGCCTTTGGAGTCCAGGTTCCCGCCCACTTTCATGGTGTCACAGGGCTTCCTCTGCTCGATGTACTCGTTCATGGTGGACTCCAGCAGGTAGGCGTACTTCCCCTTGGACTTGCGGACGCGCAAGACGCCCTCGGACGTTTTCTTGACAAACACGGAGGGTTCCGCCGACTTCATGTACTGCCACATCTTGTCGAACAAGGCGATCTTTGAGCGCTAAAAAAAACAGATAATCAAATAAGTTACTCTAAGGCAAACACGTCAAACTCAAGGCCCGGGGGCCAAATGTGGCCCACCAAGCCGTTTTGTGTGGAAAAAAGCAATTAGTAAAATCCATGCAGCAGAGTTTCTTAACCTAGTTTTTATAATCAATCAAATTAATAATCAATTGCAGAAACATGTCTTAGTCTGTTATGGAGTAGTTACATCTATACCAGGGGCCCCCAACATTTTTGTCCCAAGGACTGGTCAGCCAGTACCACCCGTTACTACAGACCGGTACCAAGGTGCTGAGCAGTGAAGGATCATTGCATTTTCAAAATAAAGCATCTGTTAGACTGTATTCTGTTTGTATCAGTCTGAATGACCTATTATTTTAGAATACTGCCAGATTAAGTAGTAAATAAATATGACTGGATTTTCTTTGAATTAAGTAAATTAAGTACATTTTTTCACTGTGTCTCACTGCGGCCCAGTACCAAATGATCTATGGACTGGTACTGGTCCGCAGACCAGGGGTTGGGGACCCCTAATCTATACAGTCTTCCAGTTACAACCGGCCCTTCAAGGGGAACTGTATCGCTGATGTGGCCCCCTGGTGGAAATGAGTTTGACACCGCTGCTCTAAGGTCTTTCTGAACAAACGAAACGCATTAAAATGGTACATCTACAGTTTTTAATGACAATTCCCCTGAACCGAAGATATATAATTACTGTTAATCTAAAGTGATCTTTATCAGCAGGANNNTTGTCACCTGTCGTTTTCTCGTCATTCGTACGTGACTTAAAACTAAAGGTTGGGATAGCAAACTTTCTGAGCTTACCCTGAAGAATTCCTTGGTGGATCCAGAGTCCAGTGTCCCATAAGCAATTTCTGTCTGCTTGGCCAAGTCCTCAGCACTTTCGATGGGCGAGACCATCCTTTCCACTGTCAGAAAGGCGGCCAGGTTGGCAGTATATGAGGAGATGATGATCAGAGTGAAAAACCACCAGACACCCCCTACGATACGACCTGACAAAGACCTGGACAGGCAACCGAAACGATATGAAGAGAGAGGGAGAAAAAAAGGGTAACACATACCATAATAACAGTTACACGCCGCCCCCTTCTGGAATGATTTGGTAGACCATAACGCCTATTTGCCACAATGTCAACAATATAACTGTCATTTGAACGGCTAGTAAAAGAATTTAATTTAAAAGAATCAGATTCAATACAAACCTGGGGGAGATATCGCAACCCTGACGCATAAAAGCTCCCAGAGAGAACCACAGGGAGTTAAAAATCCCAAACTCATTCGTGGATTCTGTGGTTAGCGGCAGAGCGCCATCCTCTGGCTCCTCTAATGTCCATTCATAAGGGCTGAATCTGGATACCTACAAAGACATTACACGGTTTTGGTCTCATTTTACATTTCACTTGACCTTTTTTTCCTGCCTTTAACCTGGTCAATATATGAGCTTATGTATACAACACAGAGTCACACCTACCAAGAAGAGAACAACGCTAACTCCTATGTAGGCAAAGACAATGCACATCCAGATTTCATAAGCCAGTGGGTCCAGGAAAGAGAAGACTCCAGGTTTGGACTTCTGTGGCTTCTTGATCATGATGGAGATTCCCAGAGACATGAAGGGTTTGGAGAAATCAATCACCTCCTCACGGACCAGCGTGATCGTCAGTGGGGCGATTGCTATATCAGCTTTCTGTTCGGAGACACGAGGACAAAGTGAGAAAGAAAAAAAAACACAATTATGAACAATGTATTAGCAATTGTTATAAACATTTGGTTAGAAAAGTTCAATCCTGGGAGAATAATGGAGTTAGCACTGCATATTTTTAGGGGTTTTTCTGGAAATGTTGCAAATGTGCAGTAGGTTAAAATCAGGCACAGTTAGAAAAGTCTGCCCTTTGACTTTTCTGCTGCTGCTTTGAATACATTATCCTGCCTCTTGACTTCTTGACTCTCTATATCATACGTGTCAAACTCAAGGCCCCGGGGGCCAAATGCGGCCCGCCAAGCCATTTTGTGTGGCCCGCGGGAGCATAAAATGCATTTAATAAAGTCCATGCAGCAGAGTTTATCAACCTATGAAATTAAACGTTGTTTTTTTATTACATAGCAATGAACAATATCTGTAGCTTGAATAAACAATAATCAATTGCAGATACATGTATTAGTCTGTTATGGAGGAGCTACATCTATACCAGACTCTATTCTGTTTGTATCAAAGTCTGAATGACTTTTATTTTAAAATATTGCCAGATTATCGTCAAATAAAGAAAGTAACTGGATTTTTTTTTTTTTTGAATGACCTATGGACTGGAACTGGTCCGCCAACCGGTGGTTGGGCGCCCTTGCTCTATCCAGTCCTCCCTTTAAAACCAGCCCTTCAACAGGAACTGTATTGCTGATGTGGCCCCCGGGTGAAAATGAGTTTGACATATATATGAATATATGATTCAAAAAGAGGTGAAGCGAAGAACAATCATATATTTTATATATATATTTTTTATATTTTATATTTTATATTTTATACCTACCCCATACACAAGCTCTCCGACCATACCATTCCAGATCTTGGTTTCCGCATCTCTAGCTCCATATTTACCATCTCCCACAATCTTTAACTGGTAGCGTATGCCACAGTGTTTAGCAATCTCTGCCGCCAGGTCAACGCAGTAACCTAGCATTCAGCAGAACACACGTGTACATAAGAAACATTCTGTTTGAAGAATTTTTTAATTGAGTGTTTAGTAAAGTGACAAAGACACTGTATGAAAAAAGTCAGCGGAAAAAAAAAATGACTGAAAACATTTCTCTGTGTGAGTGCCGAAGTTCTATTAGCATTTGCTAGCACATGAGCTAGCTAGCACTAGAAAAAAATCTAGAATATGGCTACCGTTTAGCTCATCGTCGTTTAACATAAATCACATGACCTCAGTAATAGATTTAACTATTGTAATAATGCCACACTTAAATATGTTTGTGTTACAAATTCTTCATATTTTTAAGACAATACATAATAATAGATTGTGGACATACCTTCATAACGCTCATTGTCTTGGAACATCTCGGCATTTTTTTTCAGCATAACATAGGGGGCCTCCTACATGTGGATACACACACACACATATTTAAGATAAAATCACTGCTGAAGACAGAATAATATCATGTATTAAAAATGTGTTTTTATACCAGTATAGTTGTCACGATAACAGTCTTGTTTTCCATTCCCATGGTGTCATTGGGATAAAGGTCTGACTTTGTCACCACCATCTTGTCCACCTCGTTCCAGTAGCCAATCTTAAAATCCAAACCAGGCACACACACACATTATACTCTATATGTTCTTAACTTAAGCTTGTCATCTTGGTTTTCATGAAGGCGGTCTAAAAATGGTCTGTTACCTTCACAGGTCCATTGTTCTTCAGCTCCATTACGGTGACCGAGTAGTTGATTCTCTTCCCATACTGGTCGAACTGGATGTTTCCTGTTAAACCATCCGCACGAACCTGCAGACACGGTGGTAACAGTGTTACAAAGCGACACAAACATAACACACTTCAACAGTAAGTCTCATGTTCTGATGCCGATGCCGATGCTGAGACATTTCCAAAATGAAGTGTTTCTAATTGGTTACCTGTTTGAGGGCGCGTTCTATTTCCACACCCTGTGACCACGGCACCGCAGGGTTGGCCAGACAGTCCCCTGTATTCCCACGACGGTTCAGGTCTATTCTCTGTTTGTGCAGGAAGCGGAACGCCTCGGTCATGACGTGGACGGCGTCGTAGGTGAGGGCGGAGGTGTACTGCAAGACACACGTGAACAAGTGTCACCTTGGAATAGACAATGGCCATTTCCTATAACGGGGGGTCCTCAGGACAAGGTGGGGTAATTAGAAGATAATAAATGTAGATTTTACTCTGATTCTTATGTCAGCTCCTGGATACTCCTTCTCCTCCAGAGCTTCCCATCGCTGGTCAAACTTTGCCACCACAGGGTCATCGAAGTCTACGATCTGGAAGCCTGACACATTTGCACCTCCATACTGGATTTTGGAGAGGTCTCCATCAAGGAAACCCTGTGATGGAAAAATTAAAAATACTTTTTAGTTGAAACTCATGCATTGCCTGAATTTTTATGCAAATAATGATTTGTTACATAAGCGAACTAGCTGTATGTTAATTAATTTTGATCAGGGCATATTTTACTCTGATAATGACGATGGTATTTGCACACTCTACTAAATCAAATGGGTGGAATGAATGTTGGCTGTTCTTTCATTTTGGCAGGAAAAAAAAATATTTAAGATACTCACAAGGTTGGCAATGATGTAGTGGTATCCTTTGACATGTCTGCCTATGGTGATGACCTGATAGGTGAAGAACACAAGATCATTTTGGTCAGTAACACCATGAAGAGTGTATAGAACAAGAACAGAGTAACCAGTGAGTTACTGATACAAAATCAACACAGGCCGTGGTCAGTCCATATCCTGCCTAGACAACCCCAAAATTTCCCAGTGTTTACAGTGGTGACCTGGAGAGAATTTCTGAGGACTTCACATTATCTCATTGGCAAAAAAATGTGCCAAATAACATGTTTAATATACAACAGCCTCTGTATCTTCTTTGCTGAAACTGCTAGCTTTCTCTAATAATCTTAGGCCGTCGCAGATTGATATCTACTGGTCCATTTCATTTTTTTAATTATGATAAGATCGCATGATCAGACTGGAGCCAACCTGCTCCATGATGTCTTTGACTTTGTCCTGTTCACAGTCCAGGATGATGCGTCGCTCTTTGCGAATCTCCAGGTCCTGAAATCAGATTACACATACAGTGGGGTCTGCGTTATCAAAGCAGTGAAGATTAGCTTCACTAGAATAGCGACACTTTTAAATTCTGCATACAGGAATCTACAGATTATTAAAA